CACATGCACGCACACACCTCCATAGTGCAATGAGGTCTTGGCAGTTAAGACTAGTCCTTTATAACTCGGCCTACTTGGAACAACAACAGCATCATTAGAGGTCGGGGAGGGAAAAAAAAAAAAAAAAAGCCAAACTGTCAGTGTTGAGTAGCTGCAAGATTGATGCGACCTTAATTACACTGACTCCAGGAAACTTTTCTGTAAATGGATATTCAGCAGATTAAGTTTGACAATAGAAATCACAGATGAATTAGACGTCACGTGTTTCGCTCGATTTGTTTCACCTCATTCGTAATGCTGGAAGTGTTTCCTAAGTCGCCCTGCCCAAACATTGCCCTGTGTATCACAACCTTCAGGGGTCAGAGGCCAGTATGGCCCAACAGAATCCATGTTGGATCGATCTGCAGTCACTACTGGAGTCTTCAGTTCTCTATTTTATTGCTGAGAACCAGCTCAGCCAACACTGTCTCTGTCAGTGCTGCAGAGTTAGAGAAGCTCAGCTGCTGCAGAAGTCCCACAGTTTTGTTTTTTTTTCCTGAGTGTTGTCAGGAAAGCTCCAATTAAGATTTATAGAATGAATTCTTAACAATGAACAGATCACAGCAGCACAGGGACTTCTAATGTTGCTGCAGCTTCACCTTTCACTCTGCAGCACTGATCAGAACATGAACTATTCAACATCCACGTCAGATTTTACACTGCATTGTAAAACCACAGCACATAACAGTACTACAACAGTACTTCAAAAGTTCTCAGTACTCCAAAGGTACTACACTGTTCATTCAATCAGTACGCCACGGTACTACAATATCATCGGTCAACATCCAAGTCAATCAGGGGAGAAGAGTTCATCCTGGTACGAGCAGTGAACCTACGAGGTCTTCCTCAGCCTTCATTTGGCTGCATGAGTCAGCACTGCGTCTGTACAAAGTCTGTACGAGTGCCGGCACTGTCTTCTGGTGCTTTGTCCATAGCACTAAGTCAGCGTTAGACCTGCATCCATCGAAGGTCGAAAATATCCAGAATTCACCCGTAGTACTACTGTAGTACTGTAAGTCCTTGCCAAGTCGGTACTGACTCTGCGCTGGCTCATCAGCGCCTTGGCTCAAAGTCCTCTGGTAAATCCCAGGGAACAGCAGCAAACAGCAGGAGTAAAACCTCCTGGAGACAAGTTGAGCTCTACTGCTCAGGGCTGGTGTGAGTGGACCGCCATCAACCAGAGGAACCTGGTCTGGTCTGGTCTTGACTGGTATCATACCTGTAATACAGAAAGAAAAATGTTTAGTGTCTGTGTGGTTTTTTTTTTCCATAAATGCTGATGGAAGATGAACTATTTTGTGATAATTCCATGTTTGTGTCCTCACCTCTGTGGCGATGATACATTCATCTTTCTGGTCCGATATGACGTAGACGGACTGGTATTTGGTGTCGGTGGTACACTGGTACCGGCTGTCACTGGGACTGTTGTATTCCACATCACTGGTCGACTGGAATTTGACGTCACTAGTCGACTGGTATTTAAGATCGCCTGCTGCATGACAGTTCAAATCAGTGGAGGACTGATATTTTGCTTCGCTGCAGCTTGGTGACTCTTCTGCTGCTTTCTTTTCTGATGCATCACTGTGGAATAAAGAACACAAGCAGGTTCATAAATGCTGTCGTTTGCACAACACATGCATCACTATAGTGACACCTGCACTTTAAGTGGCGCAGTTTAAGACATGCAAAATTTCAAAGCAGTGTAGCCAAGTAAGTACATATTTTGACAGCTATGTACCTGTTGTGTCTCTTTCTGTATGTTTCCTCTGTGTCAGACTCATCCAGCATTTCACATTTGGCCTCTGGCTCATCATGGTCCTCCTCTTTGCACAGTGACAGCTCCTCAGGCCGGAGCTCGTGGACCAGGTTGTACTCCACGCTGGGGTAGCGAGTCTTAAAGCCGTTCTTCTCTGATCCGTTGAGTCCACTGATTCCACTCAGACCCCCCAGTGACCCGGCAAGGTCTGAATGGTAATCTGCCTTCTTGTTGGTGTTTTTAATTGAGGTTGTCATCATAGCACCAAGTTCTTTGTCACTGCGGAGGCAGTTGTTGGTGGTTGTCAGGTTGTTCATGGTTTCACGGCTGTCGCTGTGGACACTGTCACCATGGTGACTGTGTCGCTCCTGCAGTTTGACTCGAATGTAGACCACCAGCACCGAGCAGCCGATCAGGATCACAAGAACGAGGAAGACACCGGCGCACACGGCCGTCCAAGGAAATCCGCTGTCATCATCCTCTTTGTCCTCAACATTTCCAGTTTCTGGGGAAGAATAGCGCCGATCTGGTCCATCCACAACCGGCTGGCCCCTGGGAACGTCGGGTAAGAGGAACTGGCAGTTGTGACCGCCGTAGCCGGGCACACAGGCGCACACGTAGCGACTGCCACGCTCGTGGCAAGTGGCCCCATTGTGGCAGGGATTATGATGGCAGCGGGAGACGGGGGAGCTGCAGTTTTTGCCAGTGTAGCCTGCAGAAGGAACAAAGTTTAAAAGTCTGATACGAAATACACAAAAGTCAAATGTACCCACAGAGAAATCAGTTGGGTTCTGTCATACCTGGAGGGCAGGTGCAGGTGTAACCGTTCACTCCCTCCTGACACGTCCCACCATTGTGACAGGGGAAGGACAAACAGTCTCCAGAGATGCTGATGCTGTCCTCACAGTTAGGACCTGAAAATCCTTCAGGACACTGACAGAGGTAGGAGTTCACCAGATCCACACATTCTGCACCTGTAGAGGGGACAGGGATTTAGATAAAGAACACGGATTACTCTCCAGATATTTTAACTCTGGGTTTGGGTGTAATTGTAGGTGTAGGTGGAGCTACAAACATTGAAGATAACATACCATTTAAACACGGGTTGGAGGAGCAGTGGTCGATTTTCTTCTCGCAGTTGAAGCCAGCATATCCCATCGGGCACTGGCAAAAGTAGCCGCCTTCTGGGTTGTCAACACAGCGGCCACCATTGAAGCAAGGCCCGTCCGCACAGGTATTGGCACTTAGCTCGCAGTTGTTTCCATAGAAACCAGGTGGACAGGTGCACTTGTAACCACTGTCATTGTCCTATATTGGAAAGAATGTAAATAGTGGTTACACACAGGCTTCTTTCCATACTTGCTGTTGTTTGCATGACACATCTCCTCCTATAACATGATACTCACAGTGCAGCTGCCTCCGTTGCGACAAGGGTTTCCAGAACATTCGTTGACCTGGATCTCGCAGCTGGCTCCTGTGTATCCAGGTAGGCAGGAACAAGTGTAGCTGCCCTGACCAGTGTTGGTGCAGGTGGCTCCATTAAGGCAGGGCTTGTGGTGTGTACAGTAGTTCAGATCTGGAAACACCGACAATAAACATTTATGAGCACCCCAGTTTATATATGAAGCAGAAAGGGCTGACTTGGAGGCACAACTACATAGTAAATCCGTCAGTAAACTCACCCTGGTTGCAGAAGAGCCCACCCCATCCCTCCTGGCAGTTGCATTGCCAGGGTTGTTGGCAGGTGCCATGGAGGCAGCCCGGGTAACGGATGCAGTCATCACAGTAACGCCCACTGAAGCCCACACGACACCTGGGAGGGAGCAGAACAATCATTTAATACTGTTAATAACAAAAGCAAAGTGCATAGTAGTTAGAAAACCAACTGAGGATTGATTGTCAGATTTATCTGTCACGTTTCATCAACCTTTCTGAACTTACTTGCACTCTCCTGGTTTATCACAGAAGCCATGTTCTTCATCACATCCAGGGAGGCAGATTGCTGCAGAGAGGAAACAAACAGTGCCAGGTGAATCATGGGAAGTGGGAATGTTTGCCCTCCATCAATCTCCCATTCACTGAGAGCCTTTTCAAACCGCTGCCTGCTTGCCTGTCTGTCTGGTTGGCGCCCCGGCATTCTTATCTCTTTGTGGGTCTTTCAGTCCGTCTGGTGTTGCGTGTGTTTATCCCACATGTTTACCTGCCCAGCTGTCAGCCTGCCCACAGTCTCTTTTATCCCCTTCTTTCTAGTTTTAGCTGGTCACAGAGGACGAATAGGCCATGTTTGGTAGTTTCTCTCGACCAACCAGTAGCTGCCAAGGTGGAAAAGGATCAAATCTGGAGACTAATCTGTGTCATCGGGTCATTCAGACCTCAGGCTCACATGTTTGTTTCTTCAGCGCCGCAGAAGTTGCTGTAAATGTCACCTTTCAGTTTTATCAGCCAAACATGGAGCTATGGCAGTTTTGGTCACCAAACAGGGGAACCAGCCAACAAGCCCTCTCTTTTAACATGGTTGCTCTCCAACACAAAAGCGTCCCACACAAAGCCTCCTTTCTCCCCTTGACTGTGGGTCAGAAGTCCTTTTTCTCACCCTTGGCCCCTCTCCTCCTCTTCCTCCAGCTCCCTCCTCCCTCTGATCCTCCTCTCCTCCCTTCTTCCTTCATCCACCTATCCCCCTATTCTCCTCCTCTCTTCTTCCTCTCCTCTCCTCTCCCTCCTCTGCTCCTCCCGTCTCTCCTCACTCCCCCCTCGCTCTCCCCTCCTCCTCCCCCCCAGGGCCAGCTGGTCTGTGTGGAGCTAACCACCAGACAGCTGCTCCATTGTCTCCTCTCACCGAGCAGCTGCCCCCTCCACAACAATACACAACCCCGCTCGGCCAATCACCAGCCCGGGCCACAACAATACAGGACCCCCACTTGGCCAATCGGGGAGGAGGTTTGGGGCGAGGAGGCCCCAGTGGTCTAATGGAAGGCACGCGGCGTGTGAATTACTGAGGAGCCACTGCGGCTCATTAGAATGGAGGCCTCTGGTGCTATGGGATAACTAACTGACGCCTGTTGCACACGGGCCCCGCATTATGAGGTGGAAAAAGTCCCTAAACAATAAAGAGAGGCAAATGACTGTTGGGGAAATGAACTTTGAGAGGAAGTTTTATAAACTGTGTAGAAATCCCCAACTTTCAAAGTCTTTGCTTGTTTAGTTTTGGGCTTCAGCTTATCTGTCCCACCAGCAGCTGCCGGCTGACTTAAATATTAACTACCGCATTAAGGTGAAGAAGTGTTTGTTCCTTTTATCTCTCTTTTATGACCCTCTCTCATGTTTCTCTGCACAGACTACATGATAGTGAGTACCTGATTAATAAGCAAACCCACTTACGTTCTGTGCAGTATTGTCCCTTCCAGCCAGAGTTGCATATGATCTCTCCACGCTCGCCGCAGGTGAAGTGTCCAAAAGCATCGTCTCTGGGCCGGCAGAAGACGGAGCAGCCGTCGCCGTAGTAGTGCTCATCACACAGGAAGCGGTAGGAGTAACGCAGCTCCGTCCTGCCCGCTGTCTGCATGTCCTTGGACCACTCTTCTCCCACAGTGAGGTGACGCTGAGTGGTGATCCTGCTGATCAGACGCTCTGGGTTGTCTGTAAAAGGAAATCAGGCAGCTTGTTATGGATCATGTGCTGGTAATGTTAAGAGTCATGATTGAGCAGCATGATGCTCTGCTGGGGCACACGAGGTTTTAATGATCCTGTCATTGCTGTAAGTTGTCAGTCATATTCCCTTTGTTTTTTACATGTTAGTTACAGTTTTGAATATGAGAGTGACAAACTGTCAAAAGACTTTTAATGGTTTTACTGGTGGATGCTGCTGTCACCTGTCCACCTGAATTTCCTTTATGTCCTCTTCCACCACACTAACACTGAGTTGTGCTGCAGTGATCGGAGACATAAAGACGACAGCAGCAAATCTCACCACAGGGCCAGATGTTTCAGAATGTATTGGAATTGAGATGCTCGTTATCATGAAGCACAAGTAAATCTACAGAAAGTGCCAGAAAGTGGCTGCTGAGTTTAGTTTTTTGGCATTTCACAGATGCATTTTACATTTGTTCTGATGAAACATAAACTCTTTTCCGTCATTTGGGCGGATAATTTGAAGACCACACAGTTAAGAGAATTACTAATTAATGATAATTTATCTTTAAAGGTAGTAATTCATACATTTCCAGCGAAATGTCTTAAATGAGAAAAACAGCAGACATTAATCAAGCTGTGTGTGTCCTGTTCATCACTAATGACTAAGTGAAAAACAGACCACACCAAGGAAAACAAGGCCACCATCAGCCTTCTGGTCTGTCTTTGAGTTACATTGCTGCCTTCTCTGGCTGTCACCCACCTGTTGCCAGGTCGTCCAGGGAGTCAGTGTGCAGAGCTTCAATGATCAGTGAAAACGTCCCCTGAGGAGAGACAGAGAGAGTCAACAGCTGCTCGGCCTGGAGGCCTCACTCCCTCCGCAGGGCAGCAGAGGGCCATCAGGAGGCCTCCCAATAAACTTCACAGCCTAATTCCCGTGCTGATTAGGGGCCTAATAAGGCCTGCTACCTGCTCCCTTTTCACACCCCTGCCACTATCACACTCTGACACCGTCGTAAAACCAAACGAGGCGGAATTTCACGCTGCGCTGCCAATGATGTGCCAACTCAGAGGATGTTAAATTTCCCACCACGGTTGGTCGGAGGAGAGAAGCGTTTGGTGAAACACCCCCTCCTCCTTCTCCTCTTCTCTCTCTCACACACACACACCCTCCTCCCCTCCCCATTTTATCCTACCAAAGAGCACAGAAATACTACAATAGCCCCTCTCACACACTGCTGACAAAGACCCTCACAAGTGTTGAGTTTGGGAGCATCTGTTGCGTTTTGCACTCTTCAAAGCTAATACGTCCCACTGGAATAATTTCACAGTCTGCTCGTGGTTTTCATTACTTACTCCTTTAAAAAAACAGTCTGAAACAATGATCACTAAATAAAACTATTGAATACATGAAAGCACATTTAATCATTTATATGCATCCTGCAGAGAAAGTTGGCGTCTTTGGAGGCAAAATGCCAAGAAATGTGAGGCTTAAGTTATCATTAAGTCTAGTTGTATCGATTTAGATGTGTCATTAATACCTTACGATAAATAAAATTCCTCGTATCAATACTCACTGGCCATGTGAAGCCAAAGGCAAACTGGATTGGGTTGGTAAAACTGTCCGCGTTCGTCTCCGGCACCTGGAAGGAGTTGGAGCCGAGGACGGGTGTCACAGCCCCGCCATAGGTGCAGGGAGGCTCTGGGGAGACGTTGGCCTGATAATGCTTTAGACAGACCCGAAAGAAAGTCTTGCATTCGCACTGCTGGTGGCCCTGCGGATGAGCGGAGCCTCCCGGGCAGCAGTTGGCGTTCCCCTGGATCCCTTTCTTGTTGAGAAACTCCTGCAGCTTCAGCTCAAACACTCCGGAGCACAGAACCTACAAACCAAATCAACCCAGTAAGTTTAAGGCTCGTGTGGTACTGGAAATATAAGCATTAATCATAAGAAGTGGGTATTTGAAATGTTACTGTAAAATATACGCAGACAAACAGCGCGCGTAAAGACGCTCTTTCTGTGGACCTACCTGGCAGGTGAGCAGGGAGAGACTGACAACCAGGAGCAGACACAGGCGTCCCATTGTGTTGACAGCCCCTCAACAAGCAGTGAAAGCTCCACAGGTCAGTGCAGCCAGACTCAAACAATCATGGAGAAAGTTGTAAAAGCTTTCCGAGTTGTCACAGTCAAGGTGAGTTTTTTACGCACAGGAGAGAAGATGAAATGAAACTTTTTTTTTTTCTCCTTTGATGCGTCTGTCGTCTTGCCTCTCTATTCTCCCATAAGAGGCGTGAGTTTTTGACAGAAAGAATTCTACAGTGTAAAGTAATCCTCAGCAGAAGGATCCCGTTGAAGAAGCGTGAATGAAATCCTCGATGAAATGTTAAGAGTTAATTCCAATCAGTCGGTGTGGACGCAGCTCTCGATGGCCTTGTTAGTTTTTCCACTTGATTGATCATCATATGCTGATCCTGAACACAGAAAACGAGTCTCCGTCCCTCTCTGCCTCTCTGTGCTGTAACAGTGCGTATGTCTGATGTCTCTTCTGCCCTGCGCAGGGTTTTATACCGGGCCAGCAGGCGAAGGGTAATAAGATGCAAATGAGCCCCTCTGCTCCTCTCCTTCCCCTCCCTCCACCACCACCACAAGTCCGCCCCGGGGCCATCACAAAGAAAGAGGAGGGGGAGGAGGAGGAGGAGAGGGGGGTGCACACAACTTTTTCTAAACCCGCCCCCCTCCTCTCTTTCTCTCAAAGGGACAGACCAAATGGCTAGTGAGCTGTTAAATGTGCAACAACCCCTTGTTTCCCCCCCGATGCCTCCCTCCTCCACAACACACATACACAGGGCCCATTTACATTCCGACAAATTCTTTAACCTCTGCACGAAATCCTCCACTGCTCCATCAGGAGATTTATATACGCAGCAGCCACTCTGACGGTGGCTTCTCATATTTGGGGTTATGGTAAAGCCCTGGCTGGCCCCGCTCCTTGCATGGCCAGCCGGCCAGCCAGCCAGCCAGCCAGCCCGTCCCAACTGCGCTACAACGACCATCTGCTCCGCCGCATTCCTATGGTGTTACCCCTGCCGTGGTTTTCACATGTTCACACCCCCCCTAAAACAAGTCGATCTGCTCTTATTACCTTATCTTTATTTCTCGGCTTGGAGACATTTCTATCCACGTGCGCACTCATCGTGTAAACAGCTGCTGTTTTCGGTGTTACATAAATTGTCTTGTTGACGCACCGATGGGCTGATTTAATGGGAAATAAAAATGTCAGACAGAATTGGTTTGATCGATGCGAGTTTCTTTTCTTTTTTTAAAGGTCCAAGTATGCTTTAATAATATCACTCTTAGGGTGCAATATTTGACACTCCATCACTCTTTTCCAAAAAATAATCACGATTTTCTTCCCAAATTCCTATATACTCTATCAATATAGCTATCTCTCTATTATCTATTTATTCACAGTCTTAAAATACATATTTTAAACCACTATAAGTGAATAAAGACCTGCTTTAGGGGCTAGAAAGCAAAATATACTCTGAGAGAAAAGGTGCGTAAAGACGCACCAAATTACGCACACTGGCTACGGGCCAACACACCTAAAAAAAAACAAAAACGTTTGCGTTCACCGCATGCCTGTGTATTTCCCCTTACTCGCTCTTTGGTAGAGGCAGTAAAAAAGACTTGGTGGTGTGTCACTCGCGTGGCTGTCATTAAGGGACTTTGTGAGGAGAAGGAGGGGGGAGGAGGAGGGGGGGAGTCATAGAGGGAGTAAAGTTTTTTTTTTTCTTTGTGCTTTCAGCTGTATGGTAATTGGGCCGGCAGCACCTGCTCTCCCACAATAATACAACACCAGAGAGAGAGAGACAGAGCGACAGAGGGAAAGCATGGAAGGGTGCATAAACAGTAATCTTACAATATGTTTGATAATGAAATATCACATTACTTACATGCAATCACATGAGATTAAACGTTACAGACTCCAGCTACAAGACTGAAGGTGTGTGTTTGCTAGAATGGCAACATGGCACCAACTCCCCGCATGGACTCACTGTCTCATTTGCATATGTGTGTCTATCTGCAGAAAAATGTGGGGAAGAATGTTGGCATGATGTTAATATGAGCTTATCTTTGGCTGTGCAGCAACTGAAGATCTTAGCATTGCTTTAATTAAACAATCTTGTGCTGTGATTCTGCTGCTACATGTTTTTAGGGGTTGAGTTGTAAAAAGGATTTGTACTCGTAAGACAGATTTACAAGTTAAACTGTTGAAATTCAGAAATCTAAGGCAACAAGTGGATATGTGGAGCTTAAAGGATTTATAATGCACCTGTGCAGAGTTGCCTAATTTGTGATTATGTGACCTGATGGTTCACAAAAAAGGAAATGAAAGCCTGGGAAGGGAGGTGCTGATTGGACGGAGCAGTTAATTGGGTTTTGGTGCCACACTTGTCAATCAACTCAACCTCAACAATGCACAGATCCAGAGAGGGCCTCCTTTCTGAATCATTTCTTTATTAATGTGTTGGAGCGGCAGTGGGGTCCAGAGAAGAACACGTGTCTCTGCTGCATCAGAGCGCTACACCACTTCTGATGTTTACACATATGAGCACTGGGAGGAGGAGGAGGAGGAGGAGGAGGGGGTCTTAATTAACAACTCTAACTGAAGCTGCTCCCTCTGCATAGCATCACTGTTTTGGTGTCCACAAACAAGGCCTTCATTCACACTCCACCAACCAGCATATGGACAACTCTGAGACTGCCATGTCAACACATCCAGAGCTGCAGCCTCATAATACTGCAAAAAAAAAAGAAGAAGAAGAAGCTTGATGACCCTGCTTGGTTATCCCTTCTGGGTCAGTGTATAGCTGCCTGTGTCTAATGTGGTTGCGTGTCCATGATGTGCTCTTTACACCCCTCGAGGCTGATTGAAAGGCCTTTAACCTTAAGCTTTAACACTATTATCCCTGCCTGCCACCGTCTTCCCAGATACCAGTGTGTGTGTGTTTAGCTGCAGGACGCAGCTCCGAGCTGCTCATTTCATTTAACCAGTTGATTTCAGCCCCCTTATAAATAGCCTGCAATGCCCCTACGTGGCGTGGCGTAAAATCCCTCTCCTGAAGCCTTTTATTTACACTCATCCCGACTTTCAGAGGTCTTTCTCTCCCTCTCTGTATTAGGTCAATATACTATCAGTCATTCATCACCATGACGTGGCACACATTTTCCGATTACGCCACCAAAGCGTGACTGAGAGGCATGATGGGATGGAGAGTGACCCTCCTCCTCTCCCCCATCTCCCCCCCACCATCCTCACTCACCAGCACCAAGACAACATTTTCCCCCTAAAACATAATTTATGCCACGAGATTCTCTGATTGTGTCTTAAAGGAAACAGCAGAAAGTAGAAACTCCTCCCCTCTGATCCGTCCGTGCGTGTGTGTGCGTGCGCGCACCCGTGGGGTTAAAAAATGGTTTAACTGGAGGTCGATTGTTTAACTGAAGTGCTTCCGTGTGTGTGAGAGTGTGTGTGTGTGTGTGCGTAACTGCGCGCGTTGGCCAGCGTGTGTGTGTGTGTGTGTGTGTGTGTGTGTGTGTGTGTGTGGACCAGCAGCTCTGTGACACGCAGGGGAACAACAAAGGAAGAGGTCTCGCGCCCCGCCGCCCATTCATCCCTTTCTCTCGCGGAGTAATTCCCATTGATTCCCATTGAACGGCGAGTCGCGAGCCCCTCGGGGGAGAACCGTGTGATTTGTGAAGGGTCGCGAGGACAAGACACGCCCCCTCCTCGAGCCCCGGCCATCTGCTCACCAAACACCACAACACCGAGCAGCTACCAAATGGCTCCCCTCAACTCTGTCTCTATCTAACCATCCTTGCTATGTCTCCTTCTACATCCTTCCTCCTCCTCGCTCCTCTTCTCCCATCTCTCTGCCCTGCTTCCACCTCCTCCTCCTCCTCTTCCTCCATTTCTCCCTCCACAGAGGAGGCCTCTGGAGGTGAAGCTGCTGCCTGCTCCCAGGGCCAACTCACAGTGGAGGCATGCAACGGGTATGAGGTGGCCATATGGCCTGTGCGTTTGTGTGCGCGACTGTGTGTGTGTGTGTGTGTGTGTGTGTGCCAAGAAATGGATGGATGGCCGTCGTGGGAACCTTAACATCATCACCATCACACCAGCTACACACACGTAGCATGGCAGGCCTTGGACTGGTCAGTTGTAGGAACCAAAGTTCACAGGGACTCTGGATCTTTCAGTTTAAGCCCCAACAAGTGTGAATCCTTCTATGCCGGCTTCCCACACGCACCGCAACAACACTGGTTTTAATTAGGTGACGTGCTGACTGAGAAATTCAATTTGTGTTTCAGAATGACTGAACAGGGAGCAATATTCAATTTGATTGGAAATCCTGGTGCTGCTACATTGTTTTGTTAGTCTGAGACACTGCGTCCATTGATTCATAGATAGATAGATAGATAGATAGATAGATAGATAGATAGATAGATAGATAGATAGATAGATAGATAGATAGGACTCCTCCAGCAACAGCAGCGCCGGTATCAGGTCAGAAACGTGAGACTCACCTGACCCACCAACACCAGAGGCAGCCCACCTATCATCCCAGTCAGGAATGCAGCGACTGACACCACCTGTTAGCCTCCATGTGTGACGGTACCTTATTTTTGTCATGTATAGCACAGCATGATATTTTGACATCCCACGATTTATCCTGGTTTTGCTTGGGCTATCATTAAGCTTTTTATGAAGTCTGAGAGGATGTGAAGATTGCACATTTTTGCCGTTAAAACTTTGAAAAGCCAGAGTTCCTCTTCAAATTCACCTTCTACAGCTTTGATGTGAAACTTTTTTTTACCATTTTAATGCCACTTATTCTCCATGTTTCAGTTCCACCTGTTCCACAGCTTCATGCAAATGCACGTTTCTATGAAGTGAAGCAGATGTAGTCAATTCATTGATAGGTTGATCAACAGGAAAGAAGCAGAATTAGCAAATATTCTGGCAACTGCTTAATTGTTTAAGTGAATTCACTGTAACAGCACACTTCAACGTAATGTCAAAACTGAAAAACAAATATGACTTGTTTTTTTTCTCACCATAAACTACATATTTTGGTTTCTTGGTTGGACAAAGCAAGCAATTTGAAAACATCACACTGGAACATTTTCAGACATCTTACAGGCTGAGGAAAGTCATCAATGATAAAAAAAATATTGAAGTTTTGCCGCCACTATTATGTAAAACAGAAATTTTTCAAATTTTCTGTATTTCATTTTACATGCCTCCCTGAATTTAACCATGACATCGTCAATGTTTTTGATTAGGATGTTAATTACATGCTTTAAGCAGTGCTTGACCACAAAACGTGAGATAACACTAATAAATCTGCTCGTGAGGATGAATCAGATTTGTGACGATGATAGTGTCACCAGCTTTAAAGTTCCCACAGGACTCTGGTGTTTGATGTGTAATGTTTGCTGTAAGGTTTGATCTGGACTTAAAGCAAGCAAGCAAACAAACAAACAAAAACCCCTACATTTTGAACAAATCGCACACTCCCTGCTCCCTGAGATCCCTGCCTGTGGTCCCCCAGGGGTCCTTGGCCTTTAGTTTGAGAAGCTCTGGCCTCCAGCAGCAGGATTAGCCAGGCCAGCTGCCCACAGAGACCCTGGGCTCTGGACGCTGACACCAGGCCTGACCCTGAGGTGGCTGCTATCAGGAACCCTGAGGGGATCTGGACGGCACTCGGTGTGTGTGTGTATGTGTGTGTGTGTTGTTCATTCAGTTGGACAACTGTTGAGCCCGTACAGATTTGGGCAGCGGTGTTCTTTGTATGAGTGTGTGCGTGCTTGTATGGTCAATTCTTTCCGGGGGTTAACTGCTGATCCAGTACAAATGGGAGGTGTTGGGGGTGGGGTGGGGCTGGGGGCATTCGTGTGCTCCTGGAACATCTGCCTCTGTTTCTCCTGAGTCAAGCTTTGGTCAGGAGAGGGGAGGAGGGGAGGCAAGAGGGAGGCGGAGGGGGGAGAAACTCAAAGGGGAGGAGATGGAAGAGGAGAAGGAAGAGTCCTTGTAGGAGGAGGAGGTAGCTGAAACGTGAATAGGCAACCGACCCAAACAGTGGGGTGCTGACAATGGGAATCAGGATTATATAAGCTCCCTTCTCGGGGCTGGTTTGAATCTATCTATCTATCTATCTATCTATCTATCTATCTATCTATCTATCTATCTATCTATCTATCTATCTATCTATCTATCTATCATAATTAAATGAAGCATGAACCAAGAATGACAGAATATTTTTTATTAATGCAAATTCATTGAAAACAAAATGCCACAGAGCACATTTTCCTCAGCTTGCAAATTCAACAGCCTTTTTATTTCCAACACAATCACCCTCACTGTACACATGCAATAAGGATTCCTTTTCTTTCTGGCTTCCGTCTACGTTTTCCAAGCAAAACTTGGCAGAACTCTGTGGGTTACAGCCTCCCAAATGTAAATATTTCCTGGTTTTTGTACTCTATGTTTGTTTTTGGGGTTTTTTAGTCTGTTGGCCCCTCTACGGGAACACCATTGTTTTCCAATTTGCTTTTTGTTTTACAGATCATTTGATTTATCAGCTAATTGAGTAAATCTGTAGATGAAGCCACAGTGAAAATAAACGTTAGCCGTAGAACCTCAGCACCACTCGCCCAACCATCTCATTCTCTGATACCAGTCGAAAGGAAAAAGCTTTCTGTTCATAGCATTGAAGATGGATAAAACTGTATTCATATGATCATTAAAGTATCGATTCAATGTGTTAACTGACACTTGAGGTTATATGTCATAGATTGAAGAGCTTGGTAGTTTTGAACATTCATCTGCAGCTTTAACACAAGTGGGCAAAGAGCAGAGCAGTTGGAGCAGCTGTTAGTTGAACATCTGCGCAGGGTGAATGTGCAAAGTGATCCTAACCCACTTAAAATAAAACATACTGAGGTCATTTTCGCCTCAGGTGCTTTTGTCAAAGGTTCCCAGAATACGCTGAGAGTCAGTTTAATGTCCATAACTCTTGAGTGGGTGATTGAAAATCATGGTGCTCCTCCCTCCTTGAAGATCAGTTGTTTGGGAGGGGTGGATTGTCCTCCCGGTCCACAGAGCATCTGGCTGAGGAACGACAGATGCTGACAGCTGGACTGACAGCCAGCATATGTCGCTTTCTTTATTCCTGCTCTGCTCAGACAATAGAGTGGAAGGGACGGGGGTGCTTTGTGTTGAGAAGGTAGACCTAATAGCTTGTGACTCCAGAGAAGAGCTCCTATTCTCCTGGAGAGCAATTAGGCCTCTCTGATCCTGGCCTGGAGAGGTATAATGGGGAGCCCACAAAACCACAATGGCTCATTCTTATTCATGACAGCTCGGGATGTTTATTCGTTAACTGCAGCAGCATCACTCTGCTCTGTCTTACATTTTTTGTTTTAGCTCGGCATATACTTTAATATTTGCATTAATCTGGCAGATGATTTGACAAAACTCATGCTGCTGCTGGTGTTAGAGGCTCCATGCGCCGAGCACGTGCGCTTTGTTTTGCAACGTGATGACGCCACGCGTAGATTACAGGAAGTGATTTGAATTTACATCAAGTAAACACAGCGCGGACTTAATGCTGCTGAACTACACCACGCTTTTAAAGTGAGTTTGTCGCTATGCGAAACAATACAGGGGTTAATAGTATTCGCAGACATAACTTGGTATTTCACGCGTGTGTCTGTAGGGGTAAGAGACACGGTTGTCTCGGAATATATGAGTTGAGCGGCTAGAAGCTAAGCTAACTGTTAGCATTCATGTCTGTTTTCACTGAACAGTGGCATGGATAATCTTGACAAGCTGTCACAGCGTGTTTGGGGAGCGACACAGGTCCTGCAATCACATATTTAACACATAAAGTGTTACGAAGACGTGAAATTACAATTTCATAATCTGACATAAGTTCCTTCTTAGGTTTTTCAGTGAATAATTGTCTCTCCCTGTGCTCCCTCGCTGTTTCTGTTTCTTCTCAGCAGAAATGGGTGTGAGAGGTCTCCAGTCCTTTATGGAGCGCTGCTGTCCAGAAGCCTGTGTGACAGTGAACCTGAGAGACATGGCCAGACAGCATGCTGCCAAAAGCCAGCAAGCCTCCACAACCAGTTGAGTTTACTTGCTCTGAAAATATTGAGCTGATTTGAGCTTTGAATTAAATTGCTTTAAGTTATTGGATCCGGAAGAAACGCTCTCTCGTCTTGCCTGTACGACTGTATATGTACAGCAAAATGACAATAAACTTGATTTGATTTGAGGACAGTAGTCTGAATCATTTAGAAAACAGAGAAAAAGATGACATTTCATCTGAAGTATTTTTCTGAAAAAACATGATGATTTTTAGTATAAATATCAATTAAGTTGAATAAACTGTTGTATTTACACCTGAAACCATCATTTTGTACATTTTTACACATCTTTTCTACAACTGTTCTGAACAATAAACTAGAGATAAGTACTTAGCCTCAAGAATGATATTAGTCTAAAATGTAACAATTCACATTAGGTTTAGTACATATAATCCCCGTTAATTATTCTTAAGTGCTTCCTAACATCGTTTAATGTAGTTCTGTGAAGATGTAAGAGTATTCTAAGAGTTTAATAATGTGCAGTATTTGCAGGAAATTACAATTTTGCCATGAAAACACATTTTTAGAACTGCAACTTTGATTCACTATATTGTCCTTCATTGCCATGAATCACATTTTTTCGCATCTGTATGGATACCCACAGGAGGACTTATAGCTCTTGAGAATTCTATACATGCTGACACTACAACATAGTGTGTTGTAAAGTATTTATTTAATGCATTACCATTCCTCATCTGTAAGAGCCAAGGCCAGCTTTCCTAATATTCACCATGGAAATATTTGCAGTTGATTACAGACTTAAAGCTTAAAACTTTTATGTTTGAAACCACAACACTTGAAGACAGAGAACTGGAAGCTTTTTGCCTGTTATTGGGGGAGTGTTGTTGTGTGTTTGCTCAGAGTGGGTTAGCATGCCGGCCTGTTCTCTATTCCATTTGTATTTCACTCTCATTCAGGTCCCACTCTTGTTGTGGATGGTATGGCTTGCCTGCGTCACTGGTACTCATGTAAGGACTGGGTGTGTGGAGGCCAGTGGAAGGAATACATGGATGTCCTGAAGAGATGGGTGGAGGCTTTTACCTCTGCTGGCATTAGACTGGTCTTTTTCTTTGATGGAGTGGTGGAAGAGCAGAAGAGACAGGAGTGGGTGAGGAAATACACGTAGAAGATTGCTGTAATTTAACATGTTTAAACTGTTTCTATTTAAGCCCACTCCTGTCTGTAGTTTCTTTTACACACTTTAACACACTGTAGTGGAAGGTGCCCACCAAATCCTGATCTGACAGCTTGGACAGTTTTTTGTTGTAACTGTCCCTTGTATTATTGGGGTGGATGCTACACGCAATGTTACAGAGACTGTAACTTCATTTTTAGAGCTTGGTGTTACTTCAGTTGATGTTGTACATTTATATGGACTCAGTTTCATGTATTAAAACAACATCTTTTGTGGTCTACAGGTAAAGAGGAGACGTAGAGTGAACGGGGAGATTTCTAAAATGTTTTGCTACATCAAGCAGCACGGAGAGCAGCCTGGTAGAGAGCTCTTTTGTCTGCCCTCTGGTTTGGCAACATTCACACGCTTTGCTCTCAGGTCGGCATTTACAATACTGACTGTGATGTAGTCACAAAATATGCACACTGAGATAATAAAGTTAATAATGTATTTGCGTCTAACTAGATGCCGTTTATACATTTTATGTTTTTAATTTTATCCCAGGTCGTTGGGTCAGGAAGTGTTTTGCACTGTGCGGGAGGCAGACTATGAGATTGCCACGTACGCACGACAGCATGGCAGCATGGGCATACTGGGACAGGACTCAGACTTCATCATATATGACAGGTTTGTAAATATGATCATGTTCCTGTATTTGTACTTAAAAATGGCTGGAGTTAAATAACTTAAAATGGTGAATTTTATAATAGACTCACAGGTTCACAGACTTTTTGTAATTGATGGAAAATGTTTGATGTGAACATGAGGTTTTATCTTATCTTTTAAAGTGCTCCTGTCTTCTCTGTGACTAAGCTGTGGATGAAGAGGCTCACCACTGTCATGTACGACCGGCAGCAGCTCTGCCGAACCCTTGGTCTGGCTGTTACTCAGCTCCCACTGCTGGCCTGTCTCCTCGGTAATGATATCGTGTCAGAGGGCCAAATGCAGCATATCAGGGACAATGCCATGGCAACATACAGGTGTCTTTACTTTGAATTTTTCTCTGCATTGGTATATGGTAGAATGTACAAACATTAAATTGGAATTTCCGGTCCTATCCTCTTCTAAATACATACTTTCTTGATCGCTGGCTTCATTTATTTATAGAGTGCACCCTTTCACAATATTTTTAAAAAGTTCCATGAAATTATTTTTCCCAGCCAACATTGTTGACTTTTGTCTGCAGATAAATACACTCATCTTGTTTGGTGAGCCAACGTAGTTAAACTTCTTTATTTTATTGTTCTCAGGAAAAACAATCCCACACCACACCCAGGAGCTCCTCAGGGGCAGGTGGTGCTCGCAGTATCCCAGCTTGTCAGCTCTTTGTGGAAGAAAGAGGAGGAACTAACTGGACTTGTCCCACAGTCTCTAAATCTGTCAGCTCCGGACAGGGAGCTCCTCATGAGGGGGGTTTGCTTCTACCTTTTACCTGGACAGAAAGCTCACATAGATGACATTTCTGCACTTCCCTCTGCCTTTGACAAACATGTTAGCCCAGAAATATTAAAGGTATGCCATGTGTCACATGTGTATATTTGTCCTGTAGAACTCCCTGCAGTTTTCAGTCAACCAAATACCAGAATGGCTAAATATTTTTTACTGTGTGGTTTTCCACAGGCATGTAGAGAGAAGCATGTAGCAGCAGAGGGTTTCATGGTTTACAGCGTTGTGTGTGAGGGAGTCACTGAATGTAGCAATACTCTGGAGGACGAGGAGGACGCTGAATTGTTACCTCAGGCCCTCGTCTACAAGCCCTGTAGACAACGCATCTACGGTCTGCTGCTGCTCAGGCAGGATGGTAAGACAGTAAACACATCAAAGTTAGACACACGTAAGGGCATAAGCACACATGTAGATACACGTGGGCAGATAAATAAATTCAAACTCGCAAAAGAGAGACTGCACATTTACACATGGACATAGAGCACACAGTCCTTAGGAGGAATACGTGGGCAGTAGTGGAGTTTGTACCGTTTCTTTTTAGAGTTGTGTAGTGGAAAAAATAATGATCAGAATGCTGAGATGTCTTTTGCAGACAATTGTGGAAAGTTGTTCCAAGCTTCATGTCTTGTGTGTTTTTTAGGCAGCACTGTGGACCGTCCAGCAATCAAAGAATGGTTTGTCTTCCCTGGAAACCCTTTGAAGGAGCCTGACATGGTCCACCCTGTCCCAGTCAGCCTGCCTGCTGGTATATACTTATCACCCTTTGCTTTGACAAAATCAGATTTCAGTCTGATTAAGAAACAGTTTCTGATGTTTTAGTTTTGCTAATTTTATTCAATGTGGTATGACGATACACAGATGTGTGCCTTGTTTCATGCACTTTAAATGTAGTATGTGACACAAATAAGCAACAAAATAGTTAAAAGTTTGTCTTAATGTTAGTGATGATGTTTCCTTGTGATTAGGATGTTGTAGACTGACCTCTTTGGCATCTGTGGCTGTCAGAATGGCTTTGAGAAGCTGCCTCTTGTCTTGCGTGTTTTTGCATCCAAAGTCCTACAATATTTTTTCCTCTGTGTTAATGTGTAGGCGATCCACCCACTCTGGACGTGTTATGGTTTAGCAGTGGTCCTGAGGTTTCTGCTCTTCGCCTGACAACCTTCCTTTCAATTTTTGAATGCCTTGACATCTCAGAGTTGTATGGAGCCATTGAAGACCCTCTCCTGGCGGCTCTCTGTCTGACTACATACATTGTCCTACAGGTTAGTTCCTCGTTCATTATTACTATTAACAGTTATCATGTAATAAAAAAGACAGCTAGAAGATTTTATTTAACTACAAAGGTTAATTCAAAAGAACTTCTTGGAGAGATAAACTGAAAAACCCACAATTTGTTTCACCATTATTCACTCTTATAAATCTTAAATGCAGAAATAAATGGCTCATGTAATTCAGTTTTCTTTTAGTTTAAAATATAGGTGATGGTTTTGTTGTTGTTATGCATGTTTGTATCGTCTTCTATAATTTTCCTGCAGTCATGTTGGGTGTTCCAGTTGCAAAAAAACACGAAAACATCATTAGTTATAGGCACTTTGAAAATGGTGACGTCTCCGGTGTGATTCATACGTCTCAGATGGTTTTCATTGGTTGGACTGCATGTCTGGCTTAGGCTCCACTGAATAAGTAAATCTGTTAAATGAGTAGGTAGTAAATCTACACCTGGTGATTTATGTAAACAGAAAATGAAAGACCACATATATTTGGTGACAATTAAACATACGCGTCAGCTTTTGATTTAGGATTTACATCTGTAACGCATACACAACAATTATTCCGCTCCTTTGTCAACATGTGATGTGAAGTTAAACATGGCTTGTTGACGCTCTGTTCTGTGTTGTTTTGTTGTGGCTTCATGGCAGCCATTAACACCCACTGAGCGCCCAGTTTAGCCACAGACACTGGTCTTTGTGACTTCAACGTCAACAACAGGTCTGATAACCACCCAAAGGCCAAGAGATGATTCTGAATTCACGTCACTACTTTTATGTCCTTGTTTTGGTTGCATATTTTGAACAATATAAATCTGAGCTGTCGGTGATCCCGCTGTAATGCCCTGTGACCACTTTTCAAAGTATGTAAAAGAAACAAGAGATTTTGTCCTTTTTGCACTGACGTCAGCTGATTGAGCTTTAACATAACACGGATCACGGGTTCACATCACCTGGATAAAGGTGCATGCGTCATGTTGTGGAGGCAAAACAGAAATTACACTGCATATTAATTAACTCTGTATCAAACAGCTTTAAATGGCTGTTTTATGCTTAATCGAAGTCACATTTTCAGAGAAATTAAAGTCAAATGTTGTGTTGAGTTTGCTTATGCTTATAAAAGTTTACTTCTCTTGCAATATTCAGAATGATATTTAAATTTAGTGATCTTTGCATGTCCCACTGCATAAAATACATAAACTGAGGATGTTAACGTGCCTTTGTTTAATCCCTGTGAAACATTGTGTGTCATCTTTAAAGATTGCTCCACGACTTACCAGTATACAACTTTGTCAAAGTCTCAGTGCAAAGTTAAAAACTAAAAATGTATTAAAATTGAAGCAACAGAACCAGAGAGCCTTTTACTAAATGTCGTTTTATTCTTTGTTAAAGCCTGGCTGCTACATTAATCACAATGCAGCGTGACCTCCAAACATGCACTCAGAGGTTTGGTTGTGTTATGTCAGCAGTCATTTGTCACAATTTTGAAGTATTTTACCAGCTCAAACAAACAGCTAAACACTCAACGACACATACCGACTGGTAATTTTCCAGACAGAAACAGAGTTCTGGTCTAACAGACAGACTGTCACCAGAGATGTAAATGGGTGACGGACCAACAGACAGACTGGAGAGCAGCTTGTTGGATGGACCGTTAGACGAGTGGATAATTAGAGAAGAGCAGTCAGTCTGACAGACAATAGTAGCTGTTGTGTGATCGCTGCTGCATTCACATTCTTCTATTTAAATAACTTCAGGGTTTGTTTGTTTTGTACACACAACTGGGCAGCCTTGTTTCTGTCGACAGCATTGTTTCTTTCTCTGTTGAATTGTTGCACAGCAGACCAAACAAACTGACCAACACAGAAGACACACTGGGATTTGATTGAATTGGCTAACCATCTATTTTCTTCTGTGTGTGTGCTTGTTTGTGTTCATGTTTTCAGGTACAAACTTTGTCTCAAGAGGACGTGGATGCCTACCTGAGTCAGGCCGTGTGTCTGAGACTGAAGTCCCCGCAGGAGCTTCAGCAGATTGAGGTCTGTCATAACCACAGACACACACATACAAACGTAAAGGCCACTGCTGTTGATTTTTTTTTTGTTGTTGTTATTTTTAAAAAAGTTAATTCTGATCTACACCCTTACTTTTGGTCAAAATACAACCAAATGTTGTGTTTCCTGCTGCAAGAAGACAATGTTCTCTGCCGTTTACACTAAACAAAGTCCTCTCGTGGTAAACACCGCTCTGAAATTGTTTCCATTAATAGAAAGTAAAGAGAAAGTGGAGGGAACACACAAATACGCAGCTGATTGACAATCTTTTCTAAGAAAACTTACTAAAACTGAACTGAAAAAAAAGAGAAAAAGTTGACAAATTGTTTAAAATCAAATTGATTTAAAGTTAAAAATGAACATTAATGAAGGTTCAGACTTTTCCTGTTCTTTTTATGCAGTTAAATCTGTAAAGTGTTTGGTGTTTTTCTGTTTTTTAGCTGGTGATCAAAGTATATTGTGCTGTTAATGATTACTGGTGTAATTTCTGTGTCTAGAAGAACTAAAACTACCTACTTAAACTGGTAGAACTTGAAACTGACTGACCAGAGCAGCGTTTAATCACAGCGCTGATGGAACAAGGACCAGAATGATGCATTTTCCTATTGGTGTTGTGGCTTTTCATCACTTAGTAAACAAAATAATTTGCTTAATTCCTAATCAAAGCTGTATTTGAAGCCAACAAGGCAGCAGCGATGTGACTGTCTTCTCACAGTGTTCAGTGAACTCGGTTCATGTGACTCGTGAGTTCTCACAGCTACGAGCATCAGCTGTGCTTTTCCATTCTCTGGGAAAACGGCCGTTGTGTTTGCAGCCTTTTTGTAGCCCCATTTATTTTTACTGCTTAATTACCATACTTATGTCTAGTAATTTGTATTTTTGCTGCTCGTCTGTTTTCTACACAATAATTAGGGCTGGGCGTTGATTTGAATATGCTGTGTGGGAGAGGTTCGGAGCTGCAGGAGGGGGTTTAACTGGGTGACTAGTGTATGGATTAAATACACACTCATCACGTAGAGTGTATATACTTAGATGTGGGCGAACAAACGGTCATCTATTGATTGTGTGTGGTTTGCATGTTCACTTGTGTGTGTGTGTGTGCACTTTACAGATTCACAAACAGTAAAATCAATCGGCCAACATATCACAAACTCAAAATCTGCCTCCACATTTCAACACATTATACAAAGCAGTTCTTAATTCAGATGTTCCTTTATTAAAATAGTGCATCTCTGCTTGTGAAAATGAGTCACGCTGTTTGTGTGTGTGTTTAGGGGAAAGGGGTTGTGGGTAGGTTTTGGGATGCGTTGGTTTTGTTGCGACATTCCTCCCCATGGGACTGTGATTTTGGCGTGTGTGTTGTGTGTGTGACAGAGAGAGTATGCTGGCGACAGTCGCCTGTCTGTCCTGGCTGACGCTCACCACATGGAGCTATTTACACCACACACACTCCACCCCGCTGGACACACACACACACTCACACACACACACACACACACACACTTCTGTCTTTGTCCCGCTCCTTTTGTGTGTTCTCATGTTCGTCTACTTTTTGCACTCGACCACTTTCTCCTTTTCTGTCCCTCTTCATGTCGCTCTCTATCTCTCTTCTCCCTCCGTCTTTGTGTCGTTGTGTTTGTGAGTGCCTTCGGGCTTTTGTGTCTCTGTCCAGTGGTTCATTGTTTTCAGAAGGTGAAGCTGTGTTTGACTGGAAGCAGGTGGCAGGCAGGGCTGTGTGTGTGTGTGTGTGTGTGTGTACACGTAATCACTGTTATCAGTGCTATTTGCCGGAGGACAGGTGAGAGCAGACACACACACAGAGAACATCTGCCTGCTGTTACTGGCTGCTGTCGTTACACTCAGCTTGCTCTCTTGTCTCTTGTTTCTTTTTATCTCGGGAGCATAAAGCAGCTGTAAGATGTGTGTTTGTGTGTTAATTGTAGGCTCTATCTTTAAAGAAATCAGTCCAGTGGTAATTGGATATTATCTTCATGAAGTAATTTATAGAATTTTATTGCAAGTGTGTTTATTTTTAATTGTGGGATGGGCCACTTTACTTGTTTCTACAATACAATACCTGGTATTTTGGATTTGGATAAATATAAGTTGCACTCTCATTTTTCTTCCCACTTCCTTTTACTTCCCTGGGGCTCATTGTGTGTCAAGTGTCGAGCATGTAATTTCATACAACAAAAAAGTTTAGGGCATCATAGAAAACACAATGCCTCGTTTGAATCAAATTTGTCTCAGTGAGCCAAAGTAAGCTTCAAGATGTACCATCACACATTCCCAACACGTTTGGCCACAGACATATGGATAAATGGACAGACACAGAGACACCTCGCTGTCATCTGGCAGAGTTACCAGTAAAGTGGGTGGTCTGAGTTGTAGTTAATTGTCTGATTTATGTGTCAGGGCTAAGTAGATAAGGTTGTGCAAATTGGGGTTGGGAAACACCAATTATTTTAGCAACTGTGAGAGAAAAGTTCAGGAATTTGTTCCGGGTGGTGACACCAAGCATATTGAAGAAACAGATGTCTGTTTCCAGCAGCGCTCCTTTAAAGATGCTGCAGTGTAGCAGGATACTTGTGGTGTGCAGATGAAAGTTGGTGTTGATGCTTCAGTCACTACTGCAGTTTATTTCTGCTCATTTGCTCCATTGATTTGAATGTTGTTGTACTAAAGGTCTAAAGAAGAATGAATCCGAATCATAAGTAATGACACTGCAGCAAATCTGTTGAGAGTTAGATGTGGTGAAATGTTTTTATAACAACCAGTAAGACAGGTTTTAGAAGATAATTTAAGTTTATTGTCAAGTGATTTCAAATTGATATTCACAAGATTTATTACTTCCATTAGTAAGTGACACAGCAAAGTCTCTGTCTGTGGACAGTGGAGTGACTGGCTGTGTGGTCTCTTATTGTTTGGTTTGCCTCAGCTCAGGGGAGTCAGTGCGACATCACCTGTCTCCAACTACGGTGACAGAAGATGCAGCAAAATATCAAATCTCATATTGAAAATGTGCCGCCATCCGTTTAGAAAACCTGATTTCTTCCTTTGTTCTCAGCTGCCTTTCCTGTCCAGTCGTGCGGTGCAGCTGGGATCTCTCTACGTCCGAGGACTGAGCCACCTGCTGGGTGCTAACTGTGCCAGCGGCTGCCCGCTGCCCAGCGCTGCCCTGATGCCTTGGCACAGCTTCGATGGACGTCTGTTCCACTCAAAGTACCTGCTGGCACACAGCGGCACAGAGAAAACCGAGCTGCTGGACAGCGACGTGAGTGGAGACAAGGCAACAAAAAGGGGAATGCGTGCATGTTTGTGTGTGTGAGAGAGAAAAAAAGTGACTTCCATTGCAGCTACTTGTATTTTCTGGTTTGTTTTATACCATGTATGAATCGTATAATTTTGTGACACATGTCTGTTAATCATGAGGAACATACTTTTGTAATCTACAGCGTGTTATTGTCTTCCTCTCTCCTTAGCCATCCTGCCTGTCGGTGTTCCTCCTGCTGAGGGAGAAACTCACAGAAACCTGCAGGAAAAGAGGCAGAGTCCTTGAGTCCAGACCCAACACACCAAAGCAAAGTTTTAAAACCACACCAGGAGCCACGTACAGAGACAGACACACAGGTGAGACGTCTGACTGACTGATCCGTCTTTGTAGAAACGTTTCTCTTGTTATTGGATTGTTTTAATCATCAGCTCATGCCAGCATCGTCACCAGTGACATAACACAGAATGGGTCACAGTGCATGCTAAAAGTATGGCAGATGTGTCTTTAAATCTGCTTTTTCCACTGTTTCAAATTCATCTTTGATCATTTTAAACACAAAATCATGAATGTTTCAAGAGCTCAAATGAACAAGTGCATATGTTTTGAATAGTAGCTTTAGATTTGTTGACACATTGTCTGTCTTAAATGTGATTTAATGCCTTTCACGTTTCCGTCTTTTCTTACTCTTACTCAACGTTCGCTCTGTGAATGTTGGCTCTTTGTTGTTTTTGTGTAGTATAATTATGCTGCCATTTGGGCCACGACTCTTTGGAAAAAGTGTTTTGATCTCGAGACCATCCTGGTTAAATGAGTGTCACAGAGAAAAACGTTTTGACCTGAATGTTATGGTGTTTGTAGCGTGCCCTGGTAACCTTGTGGTAAGGAGTCATACCATATAACCACACTGTCCTCGGTGCAATGCTGGGGACCTTTGTTTCACGTCAAACCTTTACTTCTCTTGTTTGTTTCCTGTCTGCATCTACTCTGTAAACCTTCTGATAAAGATAGAAAAAAAAGCCCCCAAAAACATTACAAGAGAGGTGGCTGTATTATTTTTAACGCTTCAGTTGCTCAACTTTTATATTTTAAGCTAATCACAGTCCAAAGTACGGAGAGCTAAAAGGCCTCCGGTGTTCTGAGCGGTAGAAACACTCTGCTCACATGAAAAACTGATGAAAATACTGACGGAGCCAAACGGAGAAGCATCGTTTTAATCTGACAGTTGATCTGTGGTTGTAGTTCTTCGGGCCCCTCACAGAACCACATTACCCAGGGGGCCATGCTGTAACGAGCTCCATGTGTGCTGTGGCCTTAACGCATACCACCGCGTGTGTGCGCACACACACGCTCACATGCACGCTTGGATCGGAGACTTGCTTTGTCAGAGCACTAGTAATAGTAGGTTTCTGTTTATAGGCTGGGGGAACTCTATTTTAAGACACACAACAAGACTAACTGATTACAGACTCCTGTCGTCTGTCTCTCCCCTCTTTATGCTCCCCTTCCCCTCAGTCCTTCCCCTCTCTTTCACTCTTTGGCCTTTTATTTTTCTCCCTTTATCTACAGCCTCTGTTTTTCTTCTCTGATCTCTCGCTGTTGTCCTCTTTCTAGTGTTTCAAGTGCTTCACACTCTACAAAAACTTTTCCAGCTTGTCATAAATAAATCAACATTCACTTTCTTGTAATGTTTATTCTGTCTAAATGTTAACGTGGCCTCTCTCTATATGATGGTCCTCACAGGCTTCAGGCCAGGTTGAGCTCTCTGCTGGTACAAGACTCGTCTGTAGTTTGCAGACTTGTTCATGCTCAGTGGTCAATCACACAAGACGATTCAGCAGTAGCTTCTGAAATGTGAACCCGTAGTTTCTTTTCAACCCTGTGACTTATAAACCTTTTGCGACCATCTCTCCGCCTGCCATGTTGGCGCACAGTCTCCGATTTGCGCCGAACTGTCTGCTTTTTGCCCAAGTCAACCCTTGTGGGTCTCATGAGGATGTTTCTGGTTTTATAGATGGAAGGCTATACACTCTTTATACCTCAGTGTTTCATTTCTGCCAGACGCAGACACCAATCATTACTACAGAACTGTGGGGAAATGAGGAGTGTGTGTGTGTGTGTGTGTGTGTGTGAGAGGGAGAGAGAGTATGTGTGTGCGTGAGAGTAGTGGTGGCGCTATGTGGTATCGTTGAGGACCCAGTTTGGTTTTTGTTTGGAATCAGGCCTGATGTTTAGTCTCCTCAGCAAATATCTCCTATGCCCGCCTGCCCTCGCAATTACACTCCAACAGTGAATCCAGTATAGCTGCTCTCCCACATCTCTTCAGTTTATTTCTGTCCAGAAAGACAAAAAAACAAGCTCATTTTCAGAGTTGTGGAGTACATCTTATTTCACTCTGATTTAGAATTTTCATCAACACACATTAAACTCTCGTAAAAATAACCTAATTACCCTAATCTCTAAACTTATTCACCTCTCTCTCTCTCTCTTTTTTTTTTTAATTAACACTGAATCTCAATCTGAGAAGGTTTTCCAAAAGACATGGCAACCACAGAAATGAACCTTCAAAGGTTTTGCGGCTTGTGGTTTGACTGACACATCGTTCACTTACGCATGGCACGCTTTTTTTTCTGCACTTTCACACTCGGCAGTGGATGGATGCCGGGACGGTGGCCTGATTAAGCCGAGCTGGCTGCAGCTCCTTTTTGGTGAAGTCTAAAGTTGGACTCAAAGTTTTATTTTGAGTGCTTTGTAATTGGCTTAAAAATTCTGCCACATCAGACAATGCAGTGAAAGTGAAAAACATGTCACAAAGCTTTTCTGAACGCAAGAATAGATTTTAATGGCCGCCATGGTACGATATCCACCTATTTCTGCCGGTTAATCAGTCTGATAACCCGCAGTAGAGCAAAGGTCATCGACTCCCCACAAATACAAAAATCTGTATTGTATTTGTATTGTTAGGTGGCAGGAGGTCTGTAAGCACTTAGCTGCATGCAACTTTATTCTTTCTCTGAATAATTCAGCGTTCTGCAGTGGCGTTTGTCAGACTTGGTGAGTGTGCGTGTCCTCTGTGATATGACATTTGGCTTTTTTTTTTGCTGTTTTGTGGGTAGCCTTGAAATAGTTGTGGACAGACTTTAAAGGGAAGTTAAATGTGTGTTTGAGAGAGAAAGGGAGGGGAGCAATTGTTAATACTTTGTGCACAGAGTGGAGCATTTAAGATTTACTGAGATTACTACATCGAAAAGAAAGTCCAACGTAACTTGTCACTGGTTCTGTTAAAGTCTGTTTCTAGACTTTTTTAAAGAGTAAAGTCTAGTGAGTGAGCAAACAAACTCCATTGGATGCCCGTCGAGCGCTGCGTAAACAATGTAAAAAAACAACACAGTTTTCCTGAAAGCTAAGTAAAGGAGGCTGTCATCCATGTGTGCATCAGTGCTGCACAATATTTGTGCCATAGTTAGTTTTTCTGTGAAGAGTATTGAAAAAATTAAGTGCAAAATAAATTTCCTCCTGATGACTTTATATCTCTATTGGGAATAAACGAATAACTTTAGAATGATGGGGAGGACTTTGTAGGGGAATGCGTCTGCAAAGAAAATAAAAACAAAATCTTTTAAACAAGCTTTAAAATGACTTTTTTCCTTGAGGACTTTATTTGAAGTGTGAGCTGTTAGAAACCTTTCTCACATCGTGTGACACTGGTAAAGGCATCCAAATAGGGTTTTGCTTTGGATCACGTTCCGTCTTTGCACTCTTCGTACAGAGCAGATAGATCGTAAACACAACAGCACTGCTGACAGAATACCTGTTTTTGGTCAACATCATCCTTTCTGTAGCCAAAATATTTCCATACGGCCGTCTTGGGCTGCACAACTATGGCTAGAATGATAATCAAGTTCACCATAATTCATCTTAATTGTTCATGGATTTTGGGGAAAAGATATTCTTTATTGCTTTTTCACATTTAAATGAACAGAACACTTTGTTTATTTCCATATCGTGCTACATTCCTGCTAATGTACAAATTGGAAAAAGTGACAGAAGAATGTCGGATTTACCCTCGTTGAAACCAAATCATTGGTTTGTTTTGGATGAGAGGAACATTTTAAATGTCATTATCACAGCTGATCATGTTGTGGGAAGCCAAAACCATGGTTGTTGTTGGCATTCCAATAATTGCGCAGCCCTGCAACTGACATTGTGTTTCTTTTTTGCAACCAAACCCCGTTTTAGTTTTTCTTTCCTGCCCTTGCTCATTTTTGCTGCGTACATGTGAAGCATCCATGTCAACAAACTCCGTCTCTGTGTCTAAAGCTAACAAAAATAACTCCGAGAACTCTTAAATCAGTGTAAATGTTCTATCAGGCGGATTTCTTTTGTAGATTAGTGATGGAAAATTAGAACTGTGTGAGTTTTCTTCTTGTATCAAGCAGCAAAAACAGTCGGAACATGATGCGTCTGAGTTGTTGGTGGGTTTTGCAATTCAAATGGTTACACTACTACATCGGCCACATATTGAAGGAAATGTTTGAACTGCTTCATATGGACTGTGTGGATGTTATTCAGTCACTTTTTTTTTCATTCAAGCCCAGCCCACTTCACATCAGTGAATCTAGAGCTGATTGAGAGGTTTCAGTGTTTTTGAACATCACAGAAGCACAGCGTCCCGTTTCTGTCCCTCAGGTCGGCCTCCAGGTGGTGATGAGGGCTGGAGGGGAAGAGGAGAGACAACGGGAGGCCATCGACATGAACGAGGATGGAGGGAGAGAGGAGAGGAAAGAAGAGGTCAGTTTGACAACAGGGAGAGACTGTGGGAAACAGGAGGACACAGAGGAGGAGGAGGAGGAGGAGGACAGTATTTTCATTCATTTCAGCCACATTACCACGATGGAGGAGCACAGAACATGAACCGCCCTCCAAAACGGTCCAGAGGTCGATCGTATAACAACAGAGGAAGATACCAGCTGGCTCCGAGGTACAGCCAGCAAGATACAAAGATGTCCAGAGAGTTTATTTTTCTTCTTCTCTAATCTTTCCTCTCCTCTCCTCTCCTCTCCTCTCCTCTCCTCTCCTCTCCTTCGCTTCCCTCTTCCATCTACCCAAATTCACTAATCATTAAGCCATCAGAAGGTGAAGTATTCTTGATGAAAACAGATACTTATATCATTGTGCCGACGGCTGTGATGTCCTCTTCCCCCGTTCACGACTTAGATAGATTTATTGTCTGAGGCTGCACCCTCTCTTCTCTTTATCTGTCTCCCCTTCTTTCTTCATTTCCCCCAGAAGGGGCAGCCCCCTTGCCAGCACTTACTTTTAACCACAAGGCTGTGATTCTCAGCAAGAAGTCAGCTGTGGTTTTCCTGTACATTGCCTTGACAGTTTTACATATGCTCTGTTATATGTAGTTTTAGCAGCAGTTGATGTATCTCTCAAACTGCCCACGTCAAGAGGAGGCTACAGTTAAAGGGCTAGGACTTCAATTTTGTATTGTAGTTTTTCTTTTTTTTACTTCGATGGTGGACACCAGATACACACCGTCACCTTCTCCTACCTCAGCAGGGCTGCGCTGCTGCGAGATGAGTTTCTGTTTGGACCTGTTGAGAGAGTTGGTGTGGAGCGGAGGCTCAGATGCAGCAGCTGATTACACTGAGATTAGACGTCTCACCTCTAATCTACCATCAGCAGTCTGGGACTCGGTCTCGCAGCTCGAATAGCAGAGAACTAGCTAACGCATGCACACACAGGTCATGTAGCCAGGATGCTCTTCCTCGAACGGTGCAGATCTCCTGATTACCTCAAGCTAATCCTCGCTCGCTCTCTCTTTTGCAGCTGTAAATGTACAATATACTGATTGTCTACTGACTGTTCGAACCATTACACAAAACAAGACAAAGATCTGCGCATCAAGTTACAAAACAAAAGAGCAGACGAAACATGCAAGATAAAACAACAAATATGCTAATATGTCTAAATAAAAGAAACAACACAACAGTGTAATAAAATCCGATACAGCAATACCAAAAACTGCGTTCTCAAAAACCACTGGAGAGCTGAATTTGCCCCTCTCTGGTGGTCTTAGTCAAAACTGAAAAAAAACATCAGCATCACAAACATTATTATTCAAGCACCATTCACGCCGTGTTATTGTATTTGATTCCATTATATTTCACACTCGCTTGCCTCGTTTTGCCAGTCCCCTGTCTTCATGTGCAGTATGTGAAGTGTGTGTCTGGATATAGATTGGGAATAGAGTGGCCAGAGGGAGGCAGTAGTACAAATGTAACTCCGGGAAAAAAGAGAAAAGGAGACAGACGAAGTTTCCTCCCTTCAGTCTACGGATGCATTTTCGGAGAGCCCCAGTTTTTTTTTNGACCCTGAATGGAGAACCAAGGAGCGAAGGATTAGAGAGGAGGACTTAGGGATTTAAGAGGATGGAGAAAGACGTGATGAAAGGAGAAAAAGAATCAAATTTCTCTGAACAAACTGATTAGGGAATGATCCGTCAGGAATGTTTGTCCAAAGGATGCAGTCGGTGGAAAAATGGGGATTAAGGGCAAAAGATTAGGAATATATCATCTGATTTGCCAGTTTAGTCTGAATTTGTCTCCAATTAATCCTGTGGAGATACTTTTAAAGTCCATCACCAGCGTCTGCTTTATTCCAGGACGGCGTACCTGTTTTAATGTGACAGAAAACCATCAAGTACGAAGGAGACTCCATCAAACAAACACAAAATGAGCTACTTCAAACCCAGAAGTGGATTAAGTCTGTTTCCATCTCTTATCTTTGACAATGAAAAGGCAGAGATGTTGAAGACTGTGTGTATCCAGTGAGATAATCCTTCTGGAGGAATGGCTTTACTGAGAGAAACGGTAAAGCTGGTATCGAATATCAAATGAAATACGACATCAGTGCCACTGATTAATGCACCTCTGTAATGTGATCCCGTCTGTGATGTGTCAGTAACAAAGTGAGGCCACCAGAGCTGCTGTTTGTTTTTACACATACAAGACTGCTAGTTGTAATGAATACTAATGGAGAAAGATCTGTTTTAAAGTTTATGCTGTTTTTTTTTAACAATAAAAATAAACCAGATCTGCTCCTAGAAGCTTTTGATTTGATTATTTATTACCACCTGCGCCATTAACAAAAATAAAAAATGTAAAATTACAACGTGTTTATAGCTCAAACTTTAGTTTTTTATGAGGGATCCAACACCTAAAAGGCCTTGATGGTCCCACAATGACATTTCACAATTCTGATTCTTAAAGACGGGAACATTTGTCCTGATGCCAGCACATTAATTGTAGTTTTAAATAATCTCTCTTATGCATTTGGTGGAACTGATGTTAAATGTATTGTGAGTCACTGAGTATTTGTTGTAGTAAAAATCCAACCAGATTTCATGATGTGACCCCAAAATCACACGTGAAACACGATGAACTGCAGTGAAGCCGACCTATTAGTGCTTTAAATATGTTCACACTCAGGTAGGATGCAGCTTTCATTGAGTGTGTGAGGGTCAAATATCTGCATGTGTGTGTGTGTTGGGCAGATGAGGATCGTATAGGCTGTACAGGCAGGCTGACCGTCTTCCTGTAGCACCGTGGACGTCGTAAAATCCACCAGAGAGGAAAAGGATGCAGAGAAAGTTCCACAGCCTGAGTGCTCTCATTCCTGTTTCTGTGTGTTTCTGTGTGTGTGTCTATAAGCACGGCAGAAAAGACGTGTGAGAGGGATTTTCTCAACAAAATAGAACCAAATAATTGGAGATCAGATTGTTGATCCAGAGATGGTGACAGAGCTGATCTACTTGAGTTCAGTGATTCACTCTGGGCTGCTTCTGACTGTGTGTCTTAAAGTAAATGAAGTCAAGGGCATTTCATAAAAATTGCAGGTCATTGTGCTTCACAGGGGCTGCAAGGTGGCTCAGTGGTTAACATTGTTGCCTCGCAGCAAGAAGGTCGCCGGTTCGTGTTCTGGTGAGGACACCTGGAATCTTTCTGTGTGGAGTTTGCATGTTCTCCCCGTGCAGCGTGGGTTCTCTCCGGTTTCCTCCCACAGTCCAAAAACATGTTGAGGTTCATTGGTGATTCTAAATTGTCCGTAGGTGTGAATGTGAGTGTGCTTGGTTGTCTGTCTCTAAGTGTAGCCCTGTGATAGACTGGTGACCTGTCCAGGGTGTCCCCCGCCTTCACCCTAAGTCAGCTGGGATAGACTCCAGCCCCCTGCGATGTGCTTTGCAAAAGATGAAACATACAGAGTAAGAAGTAACTTGCAAGTAACAAGGGGGATGAAAACTGAGTTAAAATGAAGTAAGTGTTTCTACAGGAACAGTTTAAGTGGTGCACATTTTCATATCTGCAGGGCATATGATAAAAAAGAATAAAAAAACTTACACAGCGGTAGAAAGTAAAAAGTAGTAGGGAGCACAAATTCTATGCAGAATATTTGTATAGTGACAACCCAAAAAAAAATCACAAGAAAAATCACGGCTCAATCTGCAAAACATTCCTGGCAAAATCCAACATGATCAGAGAGTGACACTGGTAACAAGTCCTCAAAGCAGCAAGAAATGTACAAGGCTGTAAGACTGGATGTCAAGTTCTTTTCTCTTTCCTTATCTTTATTCCCCCTTTCCTAGTTATATATATATGTATGTGTGTGTGTGTGTGTGTGTGTGTTTTGTGGTTGTTGCATGTGTAAAGTAAAAGTAGTGAAGATATGATGACTTCTACTTGAGCCATTCCTCAACAAAGACACACTGTGAGATGTGAGAATTGGATTAATTTGCCAAAAAGGGGCAAAATATGAGACCTTTAATGTTGGAGCTGCATTAACAGCTTATGAATTTCCCCTCAGTGATCAATGAAGTTTTATCTTAATCTATAATATTACAACATTATTTATTGTTGATTGTCAATTAACTAAATATGCCACATAAGTCAGCAAATAAAGGCAGTGGTAGAAAGTACAAAACTAGCCTCTGAACTGAAGTGAACTAGTAGAATAAAGCAGTATAATGGAAAATGGAAATACTCAAGTGAAGCACAAATAGCACCACGTTGTGCTGAGATACTGAAGTAAATCGCTGCTTTTCATCACTGCCTGTTGATCAGTTGAAAGAGCGAGCATACAAACGTGCACTAATACTGTAAACCATGACATTATCAGCACAGAAGGAGAGAAATACGGCCGCTCTTTCCCAAACATGTACTATTGTGTAACTCAGTGTGGACTCTTAACATGCTGTAACATTACTGTGCTGAAAGGATTATGGCTGCTTTCACCCCCCAGTTTATTTATTTAAACCATGTGTGTGCTGCATCTGTTAATGTCTCCACATAGACATGGTATTAGAAATGTGATTTCTGATCGGTCTGTGTGGAAGACAAACATTTTATCTATCGGCTGATGCTTTAATGAGCTGGAGGGGCAGGAAATTGAGCACCTCTCCGACTGATGGACGTATAAATTGAAAAGCCTTTTTAACGGGGATGTGACCACGCCGTCCACTCCCTGTCTTTCTTCTCAGGCCAGTGGCAGCAGAAGAAACAACAGAGCGTGTGGGTGTTTTGGGGTTAGCAACTGTGGTGAGTGGAGTGGGTGTGGGTGTGCATGTGAGGAGGAGGCACAAGGGTGGGGCGCGCAACACACACACATATATATATACACACACATAACTGGAGTCCAGTCGCCCCTTCCAGATAATAACAATAACAGGAGGAGGGATGTTTTCTGTGGTGAAGAGGAAGCGAGGGATGGAAGGTTAAACAGAGAGGAAGAAAGAGGGAAATGGAGGAGTTTAAAGGAGAAGTAAACACTAAGAGAGATGAAGGAAGCATGCCAGGGGAGGGGGAATGGATGATGGAGGGACTAAGAATAGAGAAATCAACAGGATGAGGTGAGAACGGAGAGGAGGTGAAGTTAGAGGAGAAGACAGGAGAGTTTGAGTCTGCGAGTCGGAGGAAACCCTGCTGGCTGCTCGACAGATCAGCTTCCTCTGAGTGTGGCGGAGGTCTGGGCGTGGTCCCTCCAGCAGCAGCAGCAGCAGCAGCAGTGAGACAAACAGCCAGTCAGACCCCCTTTTTGTTTGCGGCCTCCTGCCAGAGATTGGCTCAGGCCTCCTTCCTCCTCCTCCGGTGGCGGTCAGTCAGCAGGCTGTCTGCTCTGTTTGTGTCACACACTCTCTCTGTCTTATCTAAACTTTCTGAGGCTTTTTCTTCTCGCTAAGGTCATCAAACCGGTCGCCTATTTGTCTAACCCAGTTGGAGTGAGAAGGGATTTGATTTAAACCCCTGTGGTATCCGCTGGTGGCCACAGTGGGCTGGATCTAAATGGATCCTATGGGGACCACGAAACCACTTCAATGCATCTCCACGGCTCCGCTTCTCCGATTCCACACTCACCTGTAGACAGGTGTAGCACGGTCAGACTGCTCAGTGACAGCTGTGTCAAAATAAAGCACTTTTATTTATTTATTCCTTCTTTTTTTGTAAAGAAAGCTGTAATTACAAACTACAGAACTGATAGCAATTAAAACTTTACATTCCATGATGAACCCTCTGAACCTCAGGCAGTTTCCGGATGTTTTTTTCTTTCCTTTTTGTCTTTTGTTTATTTATTGTTTTGCTTCTGTCACATTTGTACTCACCATGGCATCATTTTTTACTGCAATACGAGTCCTGGACCTCAGTGGAAACAGCACAGCCATGCCTAAAGGTAGAGAGAAGGCAGAAATGTATTTTGTACAGTATAACTAATAATAATAATAATAATAATAATAATAATAATAATAATAATAAAAGTTGAATTTATGTCACAAAAATGGAGAATGATCAACATGTACAACATTTTAAGTGCCCTGAAGTGTTA